AAAGAAAGAAAGAAAAGAAAAAAGAAAAGGAAAGAAAGAAAATCAGACTAGTGATAGTGGATAGTCTTATCTTGTCTCTGATTTTGGTGGGAAAGTTTTCAGCTTTCTCCATTTAATATGATTCTATTTGTTTGTCATAAATGATCTTTATCACATCAATATAAAATCTTCCTATGGCTATTTTATTCAAGACTTTTTATCATATGTAGACATTGTAACTTTTTGAAAGCTTTTCTTTTTGCATCAATTGATACAGTCCTGTGATTTTTTTCTTGGCTTCTATTGTGTGGTCTGTCACATTTATTTACTTATTTTCATGTGTTGATGAGTCCTTCCATCCCTGGAAGGAATGGATGTAAGGAAACCTACTTAGCCATTACGTGTAATCTTTTCATGATTCTTTGTATTTCATTTGCCAGTATCTTACTGAAGATTTTTTGTTTATATTAATCAAAGAGACTAGCCTTTCTTCGGCAGTTAGATCCTTGTCTGGTTTTGGGATTGGGGTCATGCTAGCTTCCAGGAATAAGTTTGCAAGTATTTATTTTTTTTTTCAATTCCATTTAATTGAGGGGAGTTGCAACCATTTATATTGAAAGTTATTACTGAAAGATACTTATTTATTCCTGAAATTGTGTTTTTTCTTGTTATTGACTCTTTTATTTTTCCATTTTTCTTTGACTACTGACCTTGTTTGTTGTATTTTTTCCATTTGCCCTTTTGGCTTATTTTTCTTTTGTCTCTGTCTATTCTGGAATATTTTCTGAAGTGCTAGTTTGGTGTTCATATACCAGTCACATGAAGTTTACTTACTTTTCCATGAAGTTTTGAAAAAAAAAATGTTTTCAGGAATATTAGTTTGGGTTGCAAATTGTTTTCTTCTAGGGCTTGAAACACTTCAGTCCAAATGCCCCAGACCTGTAAGTCTCTGTTGAGAAGACTGCTATAATCCTATTTAGTTTACAGTTATAAGTGTTTTCTTGCTTTTCTCTGATGGCTTTTAAGATTGTCTTTCGTTGCGTATCTAGGATTTTGACTATAATGTGCTGTGTGAAGCTGCTTTGTTCCATCGTAGTCATCTGGTGTACTGTAAGCCTCACTTATTTGTTCTCTGCATTATTCCCTCATAATTAGAAAATTTTCTGCTATTGTTTTTGTAAACTTTTAAAAACTCCATGTGTATGCTTCTATTTCTCTCTTAACTTCAATTAGCATTGGGTTGTTCTTGTTAGGCTCATCAACTAGGTGTTGGAAGGATTTTTCTTGTGCTTTAATCTTTTTTAAGACTTTTCTGAGTAATACATTATGAATTTTCATTTTGTCCTAGATTTCTAAAATCCTATCTTCACATTGTTTGTTTCTGCTCTTTATGGATTCTTCAGAATTTTTTTTTTTAATCTCTGGGATTTTTGTTTGGAACCATTTTGCGGAGTCTATATGCTTTATGAATTTGTTGTTCATATTTTGATCAGCTCCTCTAAATTTGTATTTATTTCTTCCATAGCCACACTGGCCATTTTTTATGATAGTTCCACTCTCTTTTGGGTTATGTTGTCTTTGAACTCACCAAATTTATCTGTCCACTCTTTAATCGTTTCCTACAGTTCAGCTGTCTGATGTTGGCATTGCTCTGTGTTGGTACCCATTAGGTCTGCTTTGGGGGAGTTGGGAATCTTTGGAGGGCATTTTGGTGTCTTATTTTTCTGCGTTCATTTTTATTCTGTGCGTGTGTGTGTGTGTGTGTGTGTGCGCGCATGCTGAGGTTTGAGCTCAACTAGAGTGAAGAGAGTTTTTGTTTTGTTTTGCACCAGGAATCAAACTCATGACCTCAACCTTGCCAGGCAGGCACTGTGCTCTAAATCTCTGGCCAAGAGTTTGTTGTTGATGTGAGGATTTCTTTTTCTGGTGCTGTTTTGCAGTGATGTGGTTTTGGCTTTATTGGCTCAGAAATATTGCTCACCACTTCAGCCTACCCAAGGTAATTGATTTGGACCCTCTCGTCTTCCTCTTGCCTGCCAGGCAGAGATGTTGAGATCTCTCAGGACTCTTAAAAGTTAATGACACTAATGTTTCATGCAGGTTAAATATAAAATTTATCAATGAAAATATAAATTAAAAAATATAAATGTCACACACTTTATTGTTCTATTATAAATTAACAAATAAAAGTTTAGAAATGTAAAGTATTGGATCAAAAAGTGACAAAGTGTTGAAACCAATGAATCATGAAAACATTAGGCAATTCAGTCATTAAAGAAAAGATCTGTGAATGCAAATATTGTTAGGTGGCAAAATTATTTCAAGTAAATTGTTTTGGATGATGAAATACATTTTTAAAGTTTAGAATAGTCAGAGTAATGTAAACTGTAACACCAATATGGGGATTATAAAGGTATAAAAAGATATTTTCTAAATAAGGGTGCCATTATTTAATGCCAGGTTTTAAAATGAATGTCTGGCAATATCTCAAAATATAATGCCATAAGGTCTAAATAATAGCAAGTCTAGCCCCTAATCCCTCACACTCCAACACTCCATCTACATTTAAGATTGGTTATTTTATTTATTTATTTATTTATTTATTTATTTATTAGCAATTTGATTATGCTTTGCTTTGGTGTGGTTGAAATTTTTTAGTGAAATTCTTGAATCTATGGGTTTATACTTATATCATTTTGAAATCTTTCAGCCATTTTTTCTTCAGATGTTTTTCTGTAATTCTATGTATTGCTTCTAGAAGCCAGTTACATGCTTGTCTTTCTGTCTGTCTGTCTGTCTTTCTCTCTGTCTCTGTCACTGTCTGTGTCTTTGTCTCTCTTTGTGTCTCTCTTTCTGTGTCTCTGTCACTGTCTGTGTCTTTGTCTCTCTCTCTGTCTCTCTTTCTGTGTCTCTCTGCCTCTCTGTCTCTGTCTCTGTCTCTGTCTCTGTCTCTGTCTCTCTCTCTCCCTCAACTTCATTTTGTATATGTCTTCAAGTTCATGGATTTTTTGCAGGATTATATAATTTCCTGCTGTTAATATGTTAGTGAAATTTTCAAAATTGTTATTTTCACTTCTGTAAGTTCCATTTTGTTCTTTGTATGTTTTCCAGTTTTTGTCTGTATTATGCTCCTTCTTTGTTGAAACTTTGCATATATATAAAATCTATTTTAAAGTCATATTTACTAATTTCTATAGTGTCTCATATCCTGTTTCTATTATCTGGTTCATCTGGTTATGGGATATCTTTTCTTATTTATTATTTTTTATTAAATACTGGATACCATGACATTTTATCACGTGTTGTGTTTTGTGGTACTCCTTTTAAAGGACATTAGTAATTGCTTTGACTAGTCATAGATAACACTGATTCTTTTGAGGTTAATTTTTCAGTTTTTTAAGCTAAGCTTGTAAAAAACTTAACTGAAAATAGAATTTCATCTCACTGCTAAACTCTTACATTTCTGTTTTCTTTGTAGGATATCTTTATATTCAGTACTGTGGACATCTCTCATTGGTGGACATCAAAATCATCCCAGCTATATGTGAGTTCTTTCTGTGTTTTCTCCATGCAGTTATTGATTGCGCTAAACTTGGTTCTTAGTATTGCTTTTGCTGCATCCAGTGGGTTTTTGTGCATTGTGCTTTCATTTTCATTTGTTTCAGGAAACTTTACCATTTCCTTTCTGATTACTTCTTTGGCCCATTGGCTTGTCAATAGTAAGCTAATTTCCATGTACCTGACTAACTTCTAAAGTTTCTCTTGCTGAACTTTAATTTTATTGCACTGTGGTTAGAAAACATACCTGATACAATTTCAAAAAATTTTGAAGTTTGCTGAGAAATATCTTGTGCCCTGTCATTGCTTCCTGAAGAATCTGAGAGCGTGCGTCCTGTAGTTGTTGAATGGAATGCTGTGCAGACATGCATGAGGCACATGTGGTCACGGATGCAATTTAACTCTGTTATGTCCTTGTTGATTTTATCTCCATACGATCTGTTCATTGCTGCAACTAAAGTATCCCATTATTAAGATATTGGCATGTCTCACTCCTTTTTGGTTTATTAATATTTGCTTTATGTTTTCAAGTGTTCAGGCATTTTGGATGCATATGCCTTTTGCATTATTTTCTCTTTCAGAATCGACCCTTTCTCATTGTATAATGACCTTCCTTGTGTATTTCTTTTTAACTGCACTTGTCTTGAAATCCAGCTTGTCTAAGTGTGGTTTTTCTTGCCTTACTTTGAGCTTCCATTGCCCAGGTCGCACGCTTCATTCAATTTCCAAGCTTCTTTGAAACTTCCTCCAATTCAAAGTTAAGGGCAAAAGTAAAAGAAAGTTCATTTTGTTCAGAGATCGGAGCTATTTTGGAGTTTTCTGGAAGCCAATTTAGTGCCTCCTTTAAACTACCCTCCTTGTTATCTGAGTTCGAGGTGGGGCAGGGCTTTCTCTGAAAACACACATAACTTGTTCTATTGCTTTACTCACTTTGAGGGTACTTTTTACATTTAAGAAAGACTTTGTTGCTTCTTGGTTCCTCTCTTTAGGCTAGAAGTCTGCTCTGTTATCTCCTGTATCTTTTTATATTAAAAGGTTTTAGTAAAAACTATTTTATCTAACAGGCATTTTTTCTTAATATTTAAAAGAATGATCACAAAAAGCAAAAGAAAAAAAAAAGTTCTTTCCTAACTTTATCTCTTGATTTTCTTCTGAAACTACACACTGGCTTCAAGAGTGTACCAACTAAAGCTAAATTTAATAGCCCATTTTTGGAAGTCAAAATAAAACTCTAAAAACTTTCTTTTTCTATTCTAACTAAAATAATCTTAATCTTCCCAGAGGAAATGAATATCTCTAAAGATAAAATATTTGGTATAAAGATAAGATTTTAAAAGTGCAATGAATGATCAAAAGAAAAGCCCGATAATGCATATAAAATATCATTTCACTGCACAAATATATTTTCTAAGCATGTACATAGAAAAACAATTAAGAAGACCTGGGTGTCACAGAACAAAAAAGTTTTTTAAAGTGATAGTCAGTTCTAAGTTACTTCTCTGCTGTTTCACAAGACTACTACTAGAACTAGATGCTGAAGTCCATTTTTCTTTTATCGATTGATTGATTGATTGGTTTTTATTTTAAAGAGAATAAAAATAATAAGAACATTAGAAATGATACAGAATTTCATAAAACAAGAGGATAGGAATTCAACAATGGTTGTTACAGTGCATACTGTCGTTTCTATTGGCTTATTGAAAGGAACAATTAATACTTGATTTTTTGACCAATTTTATATGCTTATATCTGGTAATATGAGCAAGGGCTTTTTTCTCTTTGCAGCATTTCTAGTATGGCGTCTTTATGGCTAGTGTATGCTTGTCTTCAGGCCCCAGGATCTGGCTTCAGGATTGCTGCCTCTTTCAATCCTCTGCATATGACCTGGGAATGCAGTTCTGGGCTAGCTGAAATCTCTTCAGCTGTTTTTAATCTTGGGTCTTGGTGTGTAAGGCCTCTGAAAAAGGGGGCCAAAACCTGTTCTCTAACAATGTTATTTTACATGGTTTCTATATGGAGTAGCCTTTAATTTTTCTCAGATCTTATTAGTATCCTTGGTTGTTAGCAACTTTATATCCTTTTTCATTTTTGAGCCATTTGAAAATTATCTCTGGTGGCAGAAGATAGTCCATATAGCATTTGATTGGGTCTCTTGTTGCTTCTTCTTACTGAAAAATTGATCAGTTTTCTATGATCAAATAAAAGTATTTCAATATTCTTTTCCAAGACTTTTCTGTGTATCCAGTATATTCTCTGAAAGGTTTTAGTATTACTGTATCTTTTTCATTTTGGAGTTTTAATTTTTGAATCTTTTGGGATTTGTTTTAAAAAGTCAATTTATAAATTCCCTTATGGAAGATCAGAATTCTTTGGCATTTTTCTCTGACACGTGAGAGTTTTGGGCAAATACACACAGAACGTCTTTCTGGAACCCAATCCAAGATGGTTGAAGTGCCAACAGGGCTTTATTCATCCATATAAGTGGAAGTTGGCAGGTTAGTTGGCCCCAGGTGTGGTTGAATTGGGTGTTCTACTGTCTCCTTTAATCTCTTCTCTGCCTCTTGCAGGGATTACTTCTCCTTAGTCTTGGTTCTGTTTTGTGGCCAAAAGATGTTTGTGTCACCTGCATGGCAGTGTGCTTCTCCGTGCACATCAATGGAGGAAGAGGGACTCACTTTCAGGAAATGTGCAAGGAAGGACAAATGTATCCCCTTGTCCACATCCTCTTCTTTGATCTCATTAACCTCACACTAGTCACCTTTGTGCAAGAAACTGGCCAGCAGAGGGATTATATTCATGAGTTTGAGCTTCAGCCACAGTGTGCGATGCTCATCAGAGGTGAAGATCTCAATGAAAATTAGAGTAGTCCCTAAGAAAAGCGGGAGTGTTAGATAGCTAACCACCATATCTGTTACAGAATACATAGTCAGAGAATAAATGCTTTGGAAGAGGAGAAAAACATACTAAGCATTGACCTATATTAGGCATTGGGAAGGTGTGAGCATAGGTCCAATTCTGCCATACAAGTATTTATGATATTGACTGTTCACTCACCTCTCCCTTCGTTTGAAAGTTGTACTGTCCTGATTGGATCCATTATCCAGTCCAGATTAGGCTGATTGTCTTCCTTCTCTAGGAATTTTTAGCTGGTATTCAAACTAATCAGGCTCTGCTGGCCTGTGGGAACAAGCATATAAAATGAGAAGGAGTGTGGTGGCCAAATTTTGCATTTGCATAGAGGCAAAGAAAGTCAAATGGGGGAAAGGAAAAAGAGCAAAATAGTTTATGAGCAGCGAGAAGATTGAGCTTCCTTGGTTCTTGATGACTTCTGCATTGATGGGCTGCCTGTTCCCTAGGCCCAGTCATTGTGTAGCATGTTTTAAAACTGGAGCCCAAAGACAAAGAACATAGTAGATTCCAAGGAAAAATTCCCCTCCTCCCCAGTGCCTCAGAAGCAAAGGTACTAGGCCTCACTGACTTGCTCAGGGATGGGAAGTTGGCTTTGCCCACATGGTCATGTAACCCAGCAAAGGTAAAAGGAGAAAAGCTGGAGAGCAGAGAGATTTCCTTGTGTGACCTCAAGAGTCTTCTCTGTCACCTCTTACCTTCCTTTACCCTCAGTTTAAGATAGTAAGTGGGGCTTCATGGGGACTATAAGGAGATTTTGACATCTGTGTTGTGGATATGCAAGGACATAGTGATGTTTCACTTCAGCATGGGATGTCTGAGTTTGCTCCCCAACTTAAAGAGAATCCACTAGGATAAGGTTCACTGTCACCCCCTCAATACCCTAACCCCAGCTAAAATCTGCAAAAGTGCGTTAACCTGAGGTCAGCTCACTGGGGTTCAAAGATTCTCTTCTGAAAGTGGGCTATGCTAACTGAAGAAGTAATAGGTTTCTATATGCTTAGAGCAGAGATTGCCAGAGGATGTTATTACAGCATCAGGGAACTGCGTTCCAGATCTTCAGTGAGAAGCTCCAAAGATTCACAATAAGTGTAGGAAAAGTCAGAAGAGACGGCACTGATGCCACATCCTTTCAGCGACATCCTACACCAGACAGGCTGGGGCGATGGCTTTCACAGTGCAGGAGGAGGCATAGTGAGAACTTTAGAGACAGCCCTGCCAGCCGGGGCCTCCACCCTGGGGCGGGAAAGCCTGACACTGATAAGAGAGTGGATGTGTTTCTTTACTGAATTGACTTCTAGTTGTTCAATTATATACCAGACTGGAAGACTTAATGCCAAAACATCAAGCATAAATACAATAGTTAGGGACCTATTTAAGTTTCTCCTGAGAGATAATACATCATTCTTTAATTTTTAATATTTTTTACATTTACTCATCACTTGATGTAACGCGAGATCATTTTAAGAACTCTACAAGGTAGATATTTTAGTAGGAATCATTTGCTCCCCTTTGTAATTGAGGAAATGGAAGGCTTACAGACGTTGTTCACTAAGTTCTCACCATCAACAGTTGGATGCACAGGGCTACAGCACAAGCACTGTGCATTTGGCTTGAGTACTCATCTTCTTTCCACGGGCAAGCTTGGGCTTTTGGGGCCAATGAAAGACATGAATTTTAAATGTACAAGATTTTACCTAGTTTGGAGGAATAAGGAATTTTCCTGCAAAAGGAGTTCTTCAAGTGGACTTTTAGGATGGATAGGTGTCCTACATGCTGAGAAGAGAGAAAGGGACTTTGAGTAGAAAACAGACTAAATTGAGAAGCTGAGGCTGGGGAGAGTGGAGGCCCAGGAACTTCAGGAGTCTACCTTGAGCACAACAAGGACTGAAGAGTTAGAGCAAGACAAGTCTGGCAACATTTGGGGCCAACAGAATGGTAGCAATTTTTTTAAAACAGTATTTTCTTTTCTTTTTTTAATCCTTTCCAGCTGCCTCCTTATTCTATGAAGGACAGTGAAGACGTCCTTCCTGAATAATTTGAAAAGCAGGGATTATGTATTAGGATCACATATAGTAT